TGGGCTTGGTGTGGAAAATATTATATGCAACAATCAGAGTACAAACAAGCTCTTAAAGATCTTAAACAATCATTAAAGATTGATGCAAGTGATGCACTTGCATTAAAAGTCAGGAGTAATGTCAATTGCATTCTTATCTGGTATGAGCTGGCATTGGCTGGTTATAATCAATTATTGGACATTGAACCAAATGATGCAAACACATTGATTGCAAGGGGGGGCTGTCTTTCTTAATATCTGTCAATATGCAGATGCATTAGAAAACCTCAATAAAGCATTACAAATTAAACCAACTGATACCATGGCACAATATCTAAGAGGGCATGTTTATCTCATGCTTGAGCAATATGACTATGCATTAGAATCTTGATGACTCACTGGGAATGGATCCAAGCAATATAATTATTTTAATGGAACAAGGAATTATCAGACTTGATATTAATATTAATGAATATGGCAATGCATTGAGTAAATTGGATAAATTTTTAAATGCCAAACCAGATCATTTGGTTGCATTGAGAGTAAGAGGAAAGATTTATTATACGCTCAAACAGTATGACAGTGCACTAAATGATTTCAACAAATTATTAGAAATTCAACCACAGGGAAATGTAGATGCAATGAATATAATAATAAGAGCAATTGTCTATTTTGATCTGTGTCAGTATAACAAAGCATTAGATGATATTAGTAAGTCATTGAACATCAAACCAAATGGATGTCTTTACAACAGTTATCATCTTTGTTTGATCAATCAGAAGATCAAAATTATCAAAATCCAAGCTTTTGTTATTAGATTTTTCAGACCATCAGATTAAAAATGTTGGAGCCATTATTTTAACAAAAATTTTAAAATCAAATTCATCTCTGACTTTATTGAATCTCTGTTCTGACCCAAATCGAAATCTGACCCAATTCGGAATAGGGTCGACCCAAATCGCAATTTGATTTGGGTCGGCCCAAATCGAAATAAGCTCAGAGTGATATCTATGCGATATAATCACAAAATTTATGCACAACGGTCGGACACATACTGCACAACAGGGTACACGGCAGGTTATATGTTAAGAGTAATAGTTTCGATGACAACGTTGACTACAGATACTATTCACTCTTACATGAACACCTCGTTGAACAGTCCGATTGACAGTTACATGCTTTTGATTCTTCACTATTAGCTAGCGCCAGACGCCTCGCCACTTCAGTTAGTGAGACAATTGTATCTGGTATATCTTCCAACTCATGAAAGTCTGCTAGCGTTAACTCAAGGTCAGTCGCTTGTAGCATATATCTAACGTACCTAAAGTAAACCAAGTCTATATAAGTTATCTTACACCTTGCACGGCAAAATTTTCTACCAAGCCGTGTTCTGGAATGCGTAGTCTAACTACATCACCAACAATAGACGACAAGAACTACTCTTCCACCTCTTCTTTTCTAATTCATTCTACATTGCGATCAATATTTTGTTGCGAATTGCGTCATGTATATCAGTGATCGCTGATTCGTTTTGATTATCGTTATCGGTCTGTATAGAGTCGTCATTTAGTATATAGTATCATAATACATTAAAAACTAAATTTATACTATTCTACCGTCTACGACCAGCCTTTGACGGGCAGAGAAGATTACTACTGTGCAATGTGGTGGAAGTTTTAGATAATGGATGGTATAGGCTGGGCTGTAGTCTGGATATACTAGATACTCATTATCAGGCAGCTGATTTAGAAGCGGCTGAAGCAGCGTATGGTGGACTGGATGACATCCCAG